TGGGGATTCGAACCCGCCACCTTAGGTGTACGTGGCTGGCGCCTTAGCCGGTTGAGCTATAGGCGCCAAGCCTTCCTTTATGGTTTTGCTTTTCATGCCTTATCTAAAAAATTTTTGCCTGCTCCTAGGTTGTGAAATATTTTGTTTTATTCTGAAAGCTATGAACATTTGAATTTTACTTTTTAGTCTATGATCCATTTCAAGTTCATTTGTGTATGTGTTGTGATGTAGGGATCAGATTTATTTCTTTTTTTGTTTGATATTTGTTCAAAAGAATTTCTTCTCCCCATGGAACTGAATTGGTTGTCAGAATCAATGGACTGTGAGCTGGTGGTCTGGTTGTCAGCCCTCTGCTTTGTTCCAACCATCTATTTGTGTCTCCAACACTGTAGCTTTATGCTGCCTTGAAATCTGGCAGTGTTTGCTGCCCAACCTTGTTCTTCTTCAGTATACTCTTGGCCCTTCTCTGTGTTTCTGTGCACATTTTAGAGCCAGTGTGTCAGTTCCAGGAGAATGCCTGCCTGGGCCTTGACTGGGTTTGCACAGGAGTCTAGAGATCGACCCGGCAGAAGTGACATCTCCCAGGTGTGAGCCTTCCATTCCATGGAGATGGCAAATCTCATTTATTTAGGTGTTCAGTTTATCTCAGCGAAGTTTTGTAGCTCTTAGTGTAGCAGCATCATACATCTTCTGTATAGTACATTTATTCCAAAGTAGCTTGTTTTTTATGCTATTTAAAATGATATTTTTCTGTTGTTTCTTTACTTCTTTTTTGCTAATAAATACAGATACAATTGGGTGGCGCCTGTGGCTCAAAGGAGTAGGGTGCTGGCCCCATATGCTGGAGGTGGTGGGTTCAAACCCAGCCCCAGCTGAAAACTGCAAAAAAAAAATAAAAAATACAGATACAATTGATGTTCTCACATTGATATTGTGTCCTGCTTCTTGCTAAATTCACTCATCAGGAGTTGTAGGGGTTTTTTTGTGTTTTTTTTTTTTTTTTAGACAGAGTCTTACTTGGTCACCCTCGGTAGAGTGCCATGGCATCTTTCGCTCACAGCAACCCCAAACTCTTGGGCTTAGCGATCCTCCTGCCTCAGCTTCCCAAGTAGTTGGCATTACAGGTACCCACCATAATGCCCTGCTATGGGTATTTCCTTGGGCATTCAGTCAGCTTAGGGGGCTTAAGATTTATGATAAACTTCTTTTTTTTTTTTTTTGTAGAGACAGAGTCTCACTTTTTCGCCCTTGGTAGAGTGCAGTGGAGTCGCTCCAGCAACCTCTAACTCCTGGGCTTAGGCAATTCTTCTGCCTCAGCCTCCCAATATGATAAACTTCTTATCATAAATTTAATTGTGAACTAAAATAAAATCTTAAGCCCCCCAGGGAATTGAATGCCCAAGGAAATACCCAAAGGCTGAGTTGCTGACCCTAGGGAGATCAGACACATCTCCTTAGTCTCCTCTCTTCTCGGTAATGTCCTCTGTAGCTCATTAACAGGCTAAGGCCTTGAAAGACAAAGCTTCAATCATACCTGCAGGTCACACATTTACTTAACAGAGCACTTGAGTCTGGGTGTGTGTCCTAAGTCAGGGGTGGCTCATTTCTGATCAGCAGATTTCCTTATCTTAAAACATTCTAAGCCTTTAGACAAAGCTTCATTTCTTTAATCACAAATCAAAGAATTGTTAAATCCACCCATAACATGTAGTGTCCTGCTTGAAGGCCCTTTGGGCCAAATTAACATACACCCTCCATGTATTGACTGATGACCGTACCTGTAATTCTTGGCTCCCTGCTATGTACAAAACCATAGTGAAACACAACCAACCAGGGTGAGACCCCTTGCTTGAGGCTTTTTGGGTGTGTTCCTGGGTCATGATTGCACACATTCAGCTCAGAATAAACTTCTTTGTTTTATAGAGTTTGGGATCTTTTCTGTTGACAATAGCATTTTTTTGTGTACACCATCATATTGTCTGTCGCTAAAAACCTATCAACTTTTAAAGTTCTTATAAAATTATGCCTTTATTTTATTTTTTTTGATATAGAGTCTCACTTTGGAGCCCTTGGTAGAATGCTGTGGAGTCATAACTCAGAGCAAACTGTTGGGCTCAAGAGATTGTCTCGCTTCAGCCTCCCAAGTAGCTAGGACTACAGGTGCCCGCTACAATACCCGGCTATTATTTCCTTTTAGAAATGCGTTCTTGCTCTGGCTCAGGCTGGTCTTGAACCTGTGAGCTCAGGCAATCCACCTTGGCCTCCCAGAGTGCTAGGATTACAGGTGTAAGCGATTGTGCCAGGCCAGTCTTACACTTTTAAATAAATCCCCTCCAAACCTGGGGCTATTCTCCTTGGCACTGCACCACCACCCCCAGCACCCTTGGCAGCCAGGGCGATGCTTGGCCTGACCTGAAGCCCTCTGTGTGATCTCCAACTCTGCAAGTCTAACACAGAGCCAGGCCAGTCTCTCCAGAGTGCCCCAAGATGGGTCTGGCCTCCCTGACCCCAGCCTGCTCCATCCCTGAGACCCTTCAGCTGCTGGACAAGCTCGTCTGGGTGCATCTCCCCACCCTGTCCAAGTGCAGTCTCCACATGGCCAGGCAGGAACAGTCAGATGGAGCACCCCTGCAGAGCTGGCCGCAGGCCTCCTAGTGGGGAGTGGCTCAGGGCAGCACCCCTGCAGAGCTGGCCGCCTTTCTGCTGGCGCCTGGGCAGGTGCTGTTCTCTGGGATCCTCTTTACTCCTTTCTCTTCTACTTCCTCAGGTCTCAGCTGAACTATCCCCTGCTTAGGGACTCTCCCCAACCCCCACCACCACTTGGGATCCGACCTGTTTACACTTCCCTTTCTGGCCCCCAGCCTACATTTGACATACTCATACCAAAGGGAGCTCCTGGCCCCCTTTCTGTGCTGCCCACACTGCAGGGGCAAATAGCTGTTTGAATGAATGAATTAACGAGAGATTGTAGGGAGGAATGCAGGAATTTGTTCCAGGAGAAGGGGCAGGGGCCGGGGCCAAGAGGAGCCCAGGTGAACGGAGGACCAGGGAAGCCAGTCTACAGCTCGGTGGCCCTCCAGGCGCCCCTCACTGGGCCAAGAACAGTCAGAGGGGAGCGGGCGTCCAGGCCAGTGAGTCCTGACCGCCCGCCCGCGGTCATCCTCCCCTCCTCCACCCCCTCCTCGATCTTCCTCTCCTCTCCTCCTCCTCCACTAGCCTCTTCCTCCTTCACCTCCCGCTCCTCTCCACTTCCCTAGGCTCCGACGTCCTCGCTCCCGGTAGGTGGCGCCGTTGGCCCGACAGGGTCAGCATGGCCTCTCTCGCGTCCACTCGGTCTCTAGGCAACTGCCGTTAGTGCGCGCTGCCTGATCTAGCAGACAGCTTCGCCGCGGCGTCGGGGCGCTCGCGTACCCTGGAGAGAGCGACCGACCCCAGAAACCGACCACAGAAGTTGGGAACATGGATCTGGTCATCATGCAGGAGCTGGCCCGCGCCGAGAGCCAGCAAGGTGGGCCCAGGGCCGTCACCCCCGCCCCTGAGAGGCCTGGAACCCAGTGACCCGCCCCGGGAAGCCCTTGGTACCCTGCGACCCTGCCCTGGGGAGCCCGGAACCCTCTGATACCGGCCGGAACTGTAAATTTGTTCCGCGCCATTTGAAGGCTTTCCAAACGGGCCAGCGGAGAGGGAGGGTTACTATTCCACCGCTTTGCTCAAACGACAGATGCCGCCTCCCTGAAGAGAGCTTACCAACTAATTAAGTCGGCCAACCTGGGGAAGTCGGAGCTGGACCCCTGGGAAAGCTTCAGCCCCAACCTGTTTGTTCAGTGCGCAGAACAGGCCCTCAAGGTAGTCAGGCGCCCAGGCCCTCGCGGCTGTGCTTGGGGGTGTGTGGTGGGCTGGGGAGAGGCACGCCTGGTCCCCCAGAAGCGGATGAGCAGGCAAGATCCCTCCGAGGGGTCTGTCCCAGGGTGTCCAGCTCCTCAGTCTCATGTGGGCCGTGTTGTCCGCAGATGGGACAGCCACAGGTGAGCGAAGACTGCATCCAGATGTACTTCAAGGTGAAGGGGCCTGTCACCCAGTTTCTGGGCCGAGCGCACCTGTGCAAGGCCCAGCTGTGCACCCCGAAGTCCACCGACAACCTGGTGAGAGGTGCCCTGTGCCCCTCCCCCAAGCTGTTTTCATCTGGCCCCCCAGGTGTCAGGACAGAAATCTTAAAATTATATTTAGCAAGTAAAGTGACCAAGTTCATTTCACAGTGACATGAAATTTTCACATTTACTGTTAGGCTTCTTGCCCAGGCAATGGAATCTGACCTGTCTTGCCCGGCCATTGACCCTTGAGCCCTAGTGCACTGGTTCTTGTAGCTAGGCCTTCCTTGGGAGAGGCAGCAGTGGGTTTCTGCCCCTCAGGCCCTGGAGCTGGCTCTCCCCTCTGCACCATCAGCTGGTCACAGCCCCATCCCAGGCCAGTCTTGAGTGAGGTCAGCACTCAGAGAAGTGGTGGTGAGCAGTCATTGGTGTTTTTAATTTAATTGTGCATTTTCATGTTGTTTTAGGAAGAATTTGAAAATTGTGTGACTCAGTATATGAAGGCTATAAACTTTGCCAAAGGAGAGCCGAGGTAGGCATGATGTAATCGGCCTTTCTAACCCATTGTGAAAGATATTAGAGGTGAAATTGACCAAGCAGCTGTCTTTATTTGGACTGTGGGGATTTTCTCCCATTTGTGGTTTGTGGTTTTTTTGGTTTTTTTTTTTTTTGAGATAGAGTCTCAGTATGTTGCCTCGCCTGAGTGCTGTGGTGTCACAGCTCACAGCAACCTCAAACTCTTGGGCTTAAGCGATTCGCTTGCCTCAGCCTCCCAAGTAGCTGGGACTACAGGTGCCCACCCCAATGCCCGGCTATTGTTTGTGTTTTTAATGTACTCAGGATGGTACGCCATCAATAGCATATGGAACTGGACGGTGTTCAGGCTGAGTTCACCTGAGTCTGCATGCAGCGGTTGTGATTTGCCCTCGAGAGTCTGTTCTCTCTAAGGGCCCCTCATCACTACTCCCTCACGTTGCCCCCACACCTGCCTGTGTTGCCTGCCCAGGCCATGGCCTCCTGCTTCTAGAGGTGGTCTCTGAAACCCCAGCAAGATTTCTATTCAATCAAGGCTTTCTTCATCAAAAATAAATGTCATTAGTGAAACTGTAAAACTTATGTACAAACTGGCATAAATATTACATATTTAGACAGAATGCAACATTGGAAGGCATGCCCACGTCTGCTTCCTTGCCTGTTGGTGGCCTTCTCTGGGGATATGGGCCCAGCCCTATAGATCTGCCTCTTTGGGGATGGGGGATGGTGAGGCTTGACCTGAGCCAGAGGTCCTGAGGTCAGTGGGTGCCTCCAAAGGGCTCAGGTCCTGGAGCCATGATGTAGGATCAGTGAGAACCCTGGGGGGACATCTGGTCCAGGGGTCTCAGGGGCAGCTGTGGAGGGGCCAGGTGTGTGGCAGGGAGTCCCGGAGGGCTGTCAGAGGCGCCTCCAGGAAGAGGCTTGGTTACTGTGTGGGGACCTGGCAGAGAAGGAGGGGGGGAGAGGATAGCCTTGGGGCATATGGATGGTGGGAGGGAGAGGAGGAGCCCAGTGGAGGACATATGGGAGTCAGAGTAGGAATTAGGGGAGAGGAGCTTACCCGGGAAGGTCTGGTCCTTTCTGGTGTGGGCCACATCCAGGGGACAGAGGAGGCCTGGGCCCTGGAGCGACTCCTGATGTGGAAGCCTCTCCAGGTAGGGCTGATGACAGTCCCCTATGGGTTCCCCCTCTCTCCTTTCCTGGCAAAGCTGGGAGTGCTTTCCCAAAGATAGTGAGTGCTATCCCTGTCCCAGGGTCATGTGGCTCTGGTAAACTCCCTGAGGGCGTGTGACCCAAGTGAGAGCTGGCCCCTCCAGAGAGCAGCTCCAGGGTGAGAAAGGCAGAAGCAGCAGCCATGTCCTTCCTCACACCCGTCCCAGCACGCTGCTGCCCTAGAGAGATGCCCAGACTCCAGGAGACACCTCTGCTCACTTCTCCCGCCACCGCCCAACTCGCAGGGAAGGTTTAGCCCCCAACAGTCCTTCTCTCGTCTCCTGGCTGCTTTCTGGTCATCTTTATCTGTTGCCTCCTCCAGGCAGCCTTCCTTGGTTCTTCTGTCCTTGCCCTTTGTTGTCTATCCTTTGAGCAACAAAAGAGGACTTGCTTGGTGCTGTATTTTCATGGCGTCTGCTCAGTGTGTGGAAGGATTGACTAAAAAGCGACCTGGTCTGGATTTAGGAGCCTATGGCCAGGTCATTGCAGCCCAGACTGAGCTGGAACTACCTGCACTCTGGGAGCAAAGCCGTCCAGGCGCCCGGGTCCCACGCGGGTGCGGCCGAGAGGCTTGGCCGTGGCTGCTGCCACCTGCTGGACACAGAGGGGAACGCGCGATCCCGCTCGAGGGGCCGGGAGCTTAGGCACCCATGACCTGGTGCTCAGGCAAGCGCGGCTGCGCCTCTTCAGACCTCCTCTCCTTCGTTGCAGGTATTATTTCTTGGTCTTTAACGCCTCAGTCCTCTACTGGCAAATGGTGAGACCGTTTCTGAAGCCTGGATACCGCCACCTTCTGATCCCCAGCCTCTCCCAAATCGTGAACGTCCTGAACCAAACCGAGGAGGAAGACAAGGAATGGCGTGCAGAGCTGATGTTGTGAGTCCTGCACCTGCTCTGGGGCGCGCGGTGTAGTGTACACGCGATGCGCTAGTACTGGCTCATGGTGTCAAATTCTTAGTTCAGTAAATTTGTAACGTAGTAGATATTTGAATAGGTTAAAACTAAGCCAGAATTAGGCCAATCCAGGCGCCCGCCCAGGGGACCCGAGTAGGGGAGCCGTGGGGGCAGTCAGGGCAGGGCCCTGGCTACTGGGGCCTCAACCTGGAGAAGCCACCACTGTCTTTGTGCCAGGCAGACTGGCCAGGGATCTTCAGAGCTTCTCTTATATTCTAGAGCCTTCCTGCAAGATGGCGCTGGGTGAGGGTCGACAGCAAGGGTCCTGAATGCCAGTGCCAGAGGATCCACACTCAAGTCCAACTCCACAGTCTGTAGGCTTGGGTTGCCAGCTATTTAGCTGTTTGAGGAACCCTTAAAAGATAATAAAAATAAATAAGATCTTTCTCTCTTTTTTTTTTTTTTTTAAGACAGTGCCTCAAGCTGTCCCCCTGGGCAGAGTGCCATAGCATCACAGCTCATAGCAACCTCCAACTCCTGGGCTCAAGCAAGTCTCCTGCCTCTGCCTCCCAAGTAGCTGGGACCACAGACACCTGCTGCAACGCCTGGCTATTTTTTTGTTGCAGCCGTCATTGTCGTTTGGCGGGGGCCAGGCTGGATTCGAACCCACCACCTTAGGTGTATGTGGCTGGCGCCCTAGCCACTTGAGCCACAGGCGCCAAGCCAATAAGATCTTTCTTTAAAATATCATTTTCAGGCCAGGCATGGTGGTTCGCACCTATAATCCCAGGACTGTGGGAAACTGAGGCAGGAAGATAGCATGAGGCCAGAGTTGGAGACTGGGCAGCATAGTGAGACCTTGTCTCTACAAAAAAAAATGAATAAAAATAGATAAAATATAATTTTTAAATGTTATGGAAAATTAAAATGCCAGTAATTCCCCCTCCTGCTGCTAGAGACAGCAAGCTTTTCTAGCTCTTGTTAGCCCTTCTGGTGCACCACAGACCCTGGTCATGGCTGAAGGAACTGATCCCAGGGTATTTTTCTAATGTTGGTGAAACATAAATGTTATAACAGTATAGTAACCTGATAACTAGACCTTTGCAGCAGACAATAATTTCAGCAAGGTTTAATATCAATTATATATTATCTAGGGAACTTCTTGAGTGTTATCTGCAAGCTGGAAGAAAGGAGGATGCTGCTAAGTTCTGTTCCACTGCAGCACCTTTCATAAAATCAAATGTGCCACAGAAATACCGAGAGATATTCTCCATTATGGTAAGTTGACATATTAGAAAATGCAGACAGAAGAAGGAATTTTCTTAAAAAGTCATTGCTCAGAAAACTATGTATAAAAACTGCAGACAAGTCCATTAATTGAGAGAGATAAAATATGCATACATGAACAAAACAAATATAAACAGAATAGTAGTTTATCCTACGTGAAGACATACATGACCATGACATTTTGAAAATGAAACAAGATCTTTTGCCTTTATTGTTACTTTCCGAATATTTCCTTTGTTACAACACTGAATTTGTAAAAAAGTTAATAGAAAATATATAAAACTATAAGTAATTGCTATAAGAATATGTATAAAAACATTCATCAACTATTTTTTTTTTTTTGAGACAGAGCCTCAAGCTGTCCCCCTGCGTAGAGTGCCGTGGCATTACAGCTCACAGTAACCTCCAACTCCTGGGCTCAAGCGAGTCTCTTGCCTCTGCCTCCCAAGTA